TGTTTATGGCTTAACATTTGTGCACTTTTTAACAGTTTACCTAAATACAAGCCATAGTGCCTAAGTTTTAGCACTCGAAAATTGTGATTTTTGTCTCAACTAAATTAGTTTTGATTTCATTCAAGTTATCAACTGTCTGAATAAAATACTAACACATATACAATAAAAGTCAAAGCAGCTATCATTTATTCCCTGGCTGCTAACACTGGATTTGGTTGCATCCCATATGACATTGTTAGGCAGGGTTTGTGCTATATTGTTGGCATTCTAAATGTTTAAAATAGCTTGATAATTGAAACAAGAAAAAAAAGTACTAAGGAACGTTATGAACAGTGTATAAACCCATTGCCATTGAGTTGATTCCAGTACATGACGACCCTGTAGGTCAGTACAACTACCCCATAGGGTTTCCAAAGAGTGGCTGGTGGATTCGAACTGCTGACCTTTTGGTTAGCAGCCAAGCTCTTAACAACTGTGCCAGCAGGGCTCCAAATAGTATATAAGGCTGTTCATCTAGGGAATTTACAAATTGTTCTAGGTATTTACCCTGTCAAATCATACAAGAAATTCTTTTGTTTGAAAAATCACATTTGTTATAGTAGCTAATATTTATCAAACTGTTCTAAGTGCTGAGCACATTGTAAATGTGAATAAATGTTAATGATAAATTTAGAGGATTACTAGCAACTTGGAAGATGATCATGGTGTGTATAAAAAGAGCACAGGAAACATTAAATGTATCAACAGGTGCATTAAGATCATAGACTAAAGTTAAGTAGGGAAGGGGTGGGTGAAGTGTAAAAGCTTAGTAGGAGGTACCCTTTACCAGAGCAGAGTGGATCAGCTACTTGAGAGATTTTGGAAAGACCCCTAGAAAGGGGCAGAACTCTAGGCATATCACCGCATATGGTTACTATGAACCAAGCACTATGAATGTGACTAAGGCAATCCTGCTCAGGAGTCTCGTTAAGGAGATACACATTTTTAAAAAAAACACAACTATTACAGGCATACACAGAAGAGTACACAAGTCTTTAGTATTCAGGTCAAATTTTCACAGTGGAGATGGTCATGTAAAATGACCCAGATTAAGAAACACTGTCATCACCTTAGTGTCTTCTATGACTAATCTCAGAAGTGATATATATAATTTCTGCTCTATTTTGTATGTAATACAGACCAACCCTGGTACATGTGGGAAGGAACTACACAAGGTTGTGAATACCTGGCGGTGGGATCATTGGAGGCCTTCTTGGAGGCTGACTACTACAATCATGCATTGAGTTTCCTTATGCAGTCTTCCAAGTGTTGACACACTTCATCGAACAATACGAATAAAAATCACATCTGATAATATTACCACAGATGTCACCAAAAAAGTATTAAAGTATTGGAAAGATGTCAAGGTCAGGATGGTCAATACAAGTTTTCCAAAGTCCTATTTATTACTTAGAAGCTTGAATTTTATCATTGGCAACAAACACTGTCAAATTGTTTTTTTTGAAGTAACAGGATCCCTTTGTTCATTTTTAAGAAAAGCCCTGTCAAATAACCAGTTTGTCTGCCACTCATTCTTCTGAGTAAAAGTTGTAGTCCACGAAAAAAGTCTACAATGCAGTCTCACAAGTGTTTTCCTTGAGACACTGTACTTCAGAATGCAGCAAAAGTGCTTTTGAGTACTTCCCATTTTGTCACACAATATTAAGAAGTTCACTCAAGGGTCATTTTAATAAAATAATTTTTACTGCATCATCATTGAGGACATTCTTAAGTGAACAGACTACATTATTTTTCTTCTGTGCATGTGTGGTGAAGAATACAATGACTAGTACAGTGTGCTGCCACAGCTTTGATTCCTGCTGAGGTGCTAGCAGTCTTACCCACTATTGCTTCTGCACCTCCAGTGCAAATGTGCAAAGTCAAATCATATCTTCATATTACTATGTAAGTTGTAACTTGGAGGACTACTAAAGTGGCTTTGGCGAACCTCAGGAGTCTAAGGCTTACACTTTGAGGACCACTGCTCTATGTCAGTGGTTCTCAAAAGGCAGGGGGAGGAAGAGATGACAGCCCCCACCCTTCCATTTGGCAATGTCTGGAGACATTTTTGGTTGTCCCAACTGGAGGATGTGCGCATATGTCTTAGTCATCTAGTGCTGCCATAACAGAAATACCACAAGTGGATGGTTTTAACGAAGAGAAATTTATTTCCTCACAGTCAAAGTAGGCTAAAAGTCCAAATTCAGGGCATTAAGCTCCAGGGGAAGACTTTTTCTCTGTGTCGGCCTTCTTCTCTTTGGTGTTCCCCTGGACTAGGAGCTTCTCTGCGCAGGGACCCCAGTCCAAAGGACACACTCTGCTGCCGGCACTGCTTTATTGATGGTATGAGGTCCCCCTGTCTCTCTGCTCACTTCTGTCTTTTATATCTCAAGAGATTGCCTCAGGACACAGTCCAGTCTTGTAGATCCAGTCCTGCCTTAGTAACACAACTGCCACCCATCCTCCCTCATTAACATCATAGAGGCAGGTTTACAACACACAGGAAAATCACACAGTACCAGGAATCATGGCCTAGGCAAATTGATGCATACATTTTTTGGGGGACATAATTCAAACCATGACAGCGTGTGTATCCTACTGGCATCTACTGGGATGCTAGTAAACCAGGGATGCTACTAAACACTCTACAATGCACGGGGCAGCCCCTATTACAAAGAATTATCTGCCCAAAATGTCAATGGTGCGGCATTTGAGAAACTGGTCTACAAAAATGGTCTTCCCTTGCACAAGATAGCTACGTGGATAAATCAATACCCATTTCAGGAAGTAGCATATGATCAAGAACTGATGGTTTTGAAGGAAGAAGTCCAAGCTGCACTGAAGGCACTGGCAAAAAACAAGTCTCCAGGAATTGATGGAATACCAGTTGAGCTGTTTCAACAAACAGATGCAACTCTAGAAGCACTCACTTGTGTATGCCAAGAAATTTGGAAGACAGCTACTTCACCAACTGACTGGAAAAGATCCGTATTTGTGCCCATTCCAAAGAAAGGTGATCCAACAGAATGTGGAAATTATTGAACAATATCATTAATATCACATGCAAATAAAATTTTGCTGAACATAATTAAAAAAGTTGCAGCAGTACGTCAACAAGGAACTGCCAGAAATTCAAGCCGGATTCAGAAGAGGACTTGGAACACGGGATTTTGTCAGATGGATCTTTGTTGAAAGCAGAGAATACCAGAAAGATGTTTACTTGTGTTTTATTGACTGTGCAAAGGCATTCAACTCTGTGGATCATAACAAATTATGAATGACACTGTGGAGAACGGGAATTCCAGAACACTTTATTGTGCTCATGCAGAACCTGTACATAGACCAAGAAGTCAGTCCTTCGAACAGAACAGGGGATACTGCATGTTTAAAATCAGGAAAAGTGTGCGTCAGGGTTGTATCCTTTCACGAAAGTTATTCAATCTGTATTCTGAGCAAATAATCCAAGAAGCTGGACTATATGAAGAATGGGGCATCAGGATTGGAGGAAGACTCAATAACAACTTGTGATATGAAGATGACACGACTTTGCTTGCTGAAAGTGCAGAGGACTTAAAGCACTTACTGATGAAGATCAAAGACCACAGCCTTCAGTATGGATTACCCCTGAACATAAAGCAAACATCCTCACAACTGGACCAATATGTAACGTCATGATAAAATGGAGAAAGTAAGTTGTCAAGGATTTCATTTTACTTGGATCCACCATCAACGTCCACGGAAGCAGCAGTCAAGAAATCAAAAGACTAGTGCACTGGACAAATCTGCTGCAAAAGACCTCTTTAAAGTGTTAAAAAGCAAAGGTGTCACTTTGAGGACTAAGGTGCACCTGATCCAAGCCATGGTATTTTCAATCGCCTCATACGCATGCAAAAGCTGGACAATGACTAAGACTGAAAAAGAACTGATGCCTTTGAACTATGGTGTTGGCGAAGAATACTGACTATACCATGGACTGCCAGAAGAATGAACAAATTTGTCTTGGAAGAAGTACAGCCAGAATGCGCCTTAGAATCAAGGATGGGGAGACTTGTCTCAGTACTTTGGACATGTTACTGGAGGGACCAGGCCCTGGAGGACATCACGCTTTGTAAAGTAGAGGGTCAGTGAAAGAGAGGAAAACCCTCAAGGAGATGGATTGATGCAGTGGCTACAACACTGGGCTCAAGCACAGCAACGACTGTGAGGATGGCAAGGACCGGGCAGTGTTTCGTTTTGTTGTACACAGGGGTGGCTATGAGTCGGAACGACTCCATGGCACCTAACAACTACAACAACAACCTTTTAACTTCCTAAACATCTATCTGCGCTACCTTTGCCCACTTATTTTCAACACATTAACCACTGCTACCTTCAGGTCATAATTATCTCTGCTGGGTCCAATTTATTTGTTACAGCCTACGTGAAGCCTACACTTCAGCCCCTGCCCTCCCTAACCTCGTCCTTCAATCGAGATTTACTCTCTGTTCTCTGCCCCTGGCCCGCCTCTTCGACTAGGTTGTAAACTCCTTTAGGACTGGACATGTCTTAATCCTCTGAAACCCGGTAAAAATCGTCTTCCCCGTGCTAGTTAGCTTTACCTTCTAACTGCATAGGTTGCGCATGAAATCCAGTACTGCTGCTTTCTGCGCGCACCGGAGCTAGCGCAACCGCAATTCCCGCGTACCCGCACGACGGAAGCTGGCCGGGCCTTGGCTCCGGGCTGCAGAAGGCGCTGCTGGCCCGGATGGCCGCACTACAAATCCCAGAGGGTAATGCGGTGGGGGAAGCGCAGTGGCTTCTGGGATTCGTGGTCCTAGTGAAGAGATTGGCGGACGACAGCGCCCTCGAGTGTCGCCTCTCTCCTGCCTACTGCTCTGGGCCGTTCGGACGCCCTGAGTCGGCCAACCCCGTTTCCTAAAAGAACAGGCACTTCAGGCAATTCGGTAGGAGGCTGGGCAAGATAATTTCCGCTTCCGGCGGGCAAAGGGTAAGCGGAATGTAAACACGGGGCCACGGGAGTGGTCATCAGGTAACTGGGATTGGCCGGGCCGCGGTTAAAGTCGGAGGACGAGGAGGAAAACGAGGCGAATCGTAGTGTGGTTAGGGGAGACAGAAGCTTCAGAACTCTGAATTAAGACTCTTCGGGGGGTGTGGCAGAGCCTAGACACAAAGGTTAGTTTCCAGAGACAAGCGAGTCTGGGGATCGGGCTCCCTCTTGCTCGCTGCCTGGGCCGGCTCGGCGCTTAGACGGACTGTGCAGCTTTGACCTCCTGCTGGTGGGAGGAGAGGAACGGAGCTTGCTTCCCACCCCGCGTTGAAGGTGTCTGGGATTGAGGGCGGGTCTAGTGAACACGCGGGTGACATCCGAGGCAGTCTTTATTATGCGCTTTGGACATGTTTATTGTTGTGGACAGATGAAGGAAAAGTCACTTGTGGGGACATCTTCGGGTAAATAATTTCTAGAATTCCTCACCTCGGAATACATCCCTGTGACCGCAAGGATTGCTGTTAACGATTTCCGATCAGGTTCATCCATTTGTTTCTTGCCTGGGGTGCTGCATTCTTTGATGCAGTCAAGATGAGGGTTTTCTGACTTACGGTTGCAGAATGCAGTGTCGTTTTTTAGGTTTTTTTGTGGCATTCATTAAATACAAATCTATATAAACTGTTGAATTTGCGTGAAACCCATATGATTATGATTTACCCTATGATTTCTTATCCTGATTAAAAAACGTAAATGGTTGAATATTGGCGCCTTGTGCATTTAACTATAGATTCAGGAATACCTTCTTTATAAAAAGCTTTAATTTCATGTTCAGATAGCATTAGAAGAACAGTGTTGTTGTTAGGTGCGGATGAGTAGAACTGCTCCATAGGGTTTCCTAGGCTATAATCTTCACCGGAGCTGATCGCCAGGTCTTTATCCCATGGAGCTGCTGGGTTGGTTCGAACAGAACAGCAAACCCTTAAAATTGCATGTATCTGAATTAACTTGGAACGTTAGAATTTCCAAGGTGTAAAGTGTTCCTGCATATGTTACTCCCTTCCTCTAGGACTGTCCCTTTTAAGCATAGCTAAATTTATTCTTCAAAACTTAGGGTCTTCAGGCAGTGGTATCACTAGGATTTGTGTTATCCAATGTGATAGCTCATTGTGTCATCTCCCTCCCTCCCGCACATGGACCTCCTCTGGTCCCAGACCATACAGAAATCTTAGTGATGTTTTTTGTACTAATGTTACTTGTAAATCGTAATTCCTATATATCACTCCTTTTTTTCCTTTAATTACTACCTCATTCTCAAAAAAGTTATGATATAGGTTCACAAATACTAATACCACAATATTGTTGCTAAAATACCAGGGAATTTGACAAAATCAGCAACTATAAAAACACCCGCGACGAAAACAACAGCTCAAAACCACGTGATTCAGAGCGTCCATGTAATTGGGTGGGAAGGACAACTGACAGGAGCGCATTAGAAGGTTGAAAAAGTAAATTAGCATAGAATTTTAGCCTTGCAGGTATATTGATACATAAGCTGTGTTTACAAAGAGTATTTTTGTTGTTATAACTAACTACAGGGATATTTTTTATAAAAGATAATAAATTTCTGCTGAAACACTACACAAAAGTTTTATAGTCATTTTGTTGTCATCCCCGCTGACAGTGTCACGCGATGTCGTCCGCACCCGCCACACCCCTCTAGTGATGCCACTGCTTCAGGAAGCCCTAAGTGTACTCTTTCTGATGCCATAGCATCTTTTGTTTATTCTCTTATAGTGCTTATCCTGTGTTATAATTGACTGTATACTTCTGGTCTCCAGACAGTTTTGAAGAAAATCTGAAACCACACTAATGGCCTTGGTGACAGATTTATGCTTTTTAATCTCAGTAGAATGCTGATGTAGATTGATGACTTTACTCATTCCTTACTGTTGTTCTTCCTATTCTCCACAGTGACTATTTCAAATCTTTTCCATTCTTAACTGCTCAGATCCATTTGTTTTCTCTTTATTTTGAACAGATGACTAGCCTCCTACGTCCCTGAGAAATGTGAAGCCATGGGGCATGAAATCCCCCATATTCCTTTCCCTCGACCACTGAATTTGTGTATGCTTTCGCTCAATAAAAAACCAAAAATCAAGCCCATTGCCTTCTAGTCGATTCCGACTCATTAACTCCTTATTTTCTATGTTAGAGGAAGGTATTATTCCTCTCTTCACAGCTAAACTTGTCAATTCCAAGTGTCATCAGGCCTGCTGTACCCCTAGAACTTCCTTTTGTCCTGCTTCAGCAGCTTCTGATATCTAGAAGGTGCCAAGGGATTTGTAAGGAAGAACAGCGGAAACACCTGAGGCAGCAGTGTGTGTAGCTCTTTCATGCTTGGTTGAGAACCACCACTTGAAGTCTTAACCTCTGTTTGTCTTCACATTTATAACAGTGGTTTGAGTTGGAGAATGGGGAGGGTAGTGGGAGTCTGAATGACCTAATTAATCTTTTAAAAAATAACAAGTGTCTAGAGTTCTCCATTTTTTCTTTCCTCTTCGTTCTGTTCTGCTTCCAATAATCTACAAACCTGGCTAGTGATTTCTAATGTAATTTGCTGACAGTAAACGTACCAAGTTTACATTTGTTAGTATTAAATAGGGTTCCTACACTGCCTGGTCCTTCAGTTTCGTGATATAGAAACAAAGTTCCATTTGCAGGCTCGAAGCCAGAAAAACTGATCATCCTCATTCCTGTTACCTTAAGGGACAATCATAAACATAAGACTTCTTTATCTTGTCTTATCCCAATATCTTGTGAGACCTTCCTAATGATACATTCTTTCACTGTTATCTTCACTCTGTGCCTCTGTACCTCTATGCCATATATACCACACTTCCATGTTCAGCCATTTCTTGGTTCTTCCCTAAGGTATTTGCAATTGTCTTTAAATATATGGAACTCATTCTCCTATGTTATGATGAGTCTAGGGAAAAAAATTTACCATTGTCTTCATTCTGTAGCGTAGTTTATGATCCGTTGCTCCTCCAGGCTTTTTTAAAAATCCCTGCTTCTGTGAACAGCATGTGGTTTACCTTTATCAGCCTGTAAAATTCCTGATTGCTGTAATTTATTGACATTTCCTCACATTCCTTAAGAACTTAGGTACATGACCCACAATTTTCTTATCCCTCCTGTTTTTTGTCTCCTTCTTTTAGTGATTAGTTATGCTTCAGCCATGTGCATCAGTGATGAAGACCTTAATATCAGCTAGAACTTATTCATTGTTTTCACTTCCCTTCCTCCTTTGCTTCCATAATGCTCATTTTTGATAGTTGCTTGACAACCTCTGGTTCGTTGCTTCTTTCTATCCCCCTATTTGATCAGTTAATCGTAATCTCTTTACAGACTCCTTTAAGAATCAAATGAAAACTTAGACCTCTTCTCCAGAATACTTACAAAAACAAAAAACCAAACCCGTTTCCATCAAGTCGCTTCCGACTCATAGTGACCCTATAGGACAGAGTAGAACTGCTTCAGGGTTTCCAAGGAACAGCTGGTGGATTTGAACTGCCAACCTTTTGGTTAGCAGCCAAGGTCTTAACCACTCTGCCACCAGGGCTCCAGGATACATATTAAAAAAAAATCAAACCCATTGCTGTTGCGTGGATTCTGACTCATAGTGACCCTGTATACAATTTTAGGGGTTTCTCACCCATCCGTGTAACTACTACGAGTTCTTGGATCCCTCAGTTAATCCCCTTTCTAAATAAGTATTTGTTTCATTCTTCTAGGTTTTTCTTTAACTTTGTTCCATCAGTTCTCCTCTTTTTCTTATCCCTTACATTTATATATCATTGCACATTTGCAAACCAGCTTAACATATTTTAGCTTTTTGATCCACCCATTAGTTTTGTGAATTAAGTCATTCACCAAGTTTGAATATTTTAAAAACTTTGTTATTATGGAAAATTTCAAACAAGATGAAAGGAGAGAGAAAAATGTAATGAACTCTGGGTACTCATCGCCCAAGTTTATCAATTATCAACCCACAATGACCTTATTTAATCTGTATCTTCTCTTGCATTGCATCTCCTCATTTCTTTGAAATAATTCCGAGATATTGTATAATTTAATGTGAAATATTTCAGTATGTTTTTCTAAAAGATAGATTCTTTTTATAAACATAACCACAATATTATTATCACACTTCAGTGTAGCAGTAATTTCTTAATATCATCAGATATCAAATCAGTGTTTTGATTTCTCCTATTCTTTGTGTTTTCTCCCCATTGGTTTGTATGAATCAGGAGCCAAACAAAATCCACGTTATACTTGGTTAGTATGTCTCTTCAGTTGCTTTCAATCTAAGGGTTAGTCTCTCTTTTTCTTTTTTTTCCCTGTCAGTTTACTTCTTGACAAAGCCAGTTTTTTCTCTAGTTTCCCACATTCTGTATTTTGCCGTCTGTATCTCTTAATGTGTTATTTAACATGCTCATCTATATCCCATATTTTTTATAAACTGGTAGAGGACTGACCTGATACAGGATTAGTTTTTGACAAGAGTACTTCATGGGTGCGTCTTCATCAGGAGGCTGCTTCCATCAGGCCGTGCATAATGACCAGTTGCCTTTCTTTGTGATGTTAGTAGCGATTGATGATTATTGCCTAGATCCATTATTTAACTAGGGTTTAAAGATGGTGATAATTTAATCTTATTATATTAGGTGGAATGCTTCTATAAAAGGCCAAGTTTGAATTTTAAAGCTGGTTCTTTGTAATTTTCCAGAATGGCTTCCTTTGGATGGAAGAGAAAAATTGGCGAGAAGGTCTCAAAGGTCACTTCCCAGCAGTTTGAAGCTGAAGCTGCCGATGAGAAGGATGTAGTAGAGAATAATGAAGGGAACTGGCTTCATGCCATTAAACGTAGGAAAGAAATTCTCCTTGAAGGCTGTGCTGAGAAAAGTAAACAGCTGAAGGATGAAGGAGCCGATCTGGCTGAAAATAAAAGGTATGGTTTTAGAGTTTTCTTATAAAGCACAGTTTACATGTTCTGTTTCATTAATGGGATAAAGAGCTATGAATTCCATAAATGAATTTATGAATTTTAAAATCTGATCTAGGTGCTGAATTAATCAAAGATAAGAAGTTTGAACAGTACCTGAAAATTCTCATAGAAGATGAAAGTTTGTAAAATAGTCTTCCAAATGCTTATGTTTCTGCTTTGCCATCATTTTTGTTCTGTATGAAGAAGAGTAAATGCTAACTAAAATGTATGGTCTAATCTCTGGAAACTTTATCCCTGTGGCATTATATACAGGGAATCATTTCCAGGTAAATTAAGCATTTCCTGAACAGCTTTGAGAGCATATGCTTTTTCTTCTTTCTTTCTTTTTTTTAAATAGATGATCGGTTACCCTTTTATTTGTTGTATACTTTCAGAAATATGGTTTGGAGCATAAGAATTTGATAGTAGCTTCATCTACACATATCCCTTCCTAAGCTAAGCTGTTAGACACTTCCAATATACAGTCTTTTATTTTTCCTTTCCTCTTTTTCTTATTTTCTCATTCCTTTCCCCTTTCCTCTGCTTAGATCTTTCAGTGGGACTGAAATCTTTCTTCCACAAATCAGTGGGTAAATGGTGGATTATTTAGTAGACTTTATAGAGGAAAATAAGACTGGATCCTGATCCATCTAATGTCATGTACAGAGATAGACTCTAGAGGGATTAAAAACCTGAATGTGAAAGGTAAAACCATACAGTTAATAAAAGAAAATATGGAAGGAATTAAAAAAAATTTTTTTTAGTTTAAAAAATTTCAAACATACTTTAAAATTGAAAGACTAGCACAACACCTGTATTCCCTCTATTAGACTCAAAAATTCTTAATATTTGCTTTATCTCTCTCTTCCTATACATACACATGTGCACACATGTACATATAATTGTATGTTTACTTTTTTTGCCTGATTCATTTGAAAGTAAGTAGTAGACATTATGACACCTCACCCTAATTCAGCATGCTTTCCTAAGAATAAGAGTGTTCTCTTACCTAATACAATACCATTATTATACCTTTGAAAATTAACAGTAATTCCATAATCTAATATGCATTCTGTATGTAGATTTTTCCAGTTTTCCCCTAAATGTCTTGTACAGTATACTTTTAAAAACCAGGTCCAAACAGAATTTGCACATTGCTTTAATCTATAATGGATCCCCTACTTTTTTCCTCCCATAACAGTGACTTTTTGAATGACCAGTTTGCTACTTGAATAATGTTTTCTTGTGAGTGTCATTTAACTTGTTTTCTATCCTATGTATTTTTTTTTTCTGTCCTTAGAGAGTGAAGTTTATTGAAATAACAAAACACAATAGAGAAGGAAGATTCTATTAAAAACTGGTGTAACTAGTTTTAGGTAACATTGCTATTAAAGGGAAATCTTATTCATATTTCCCAGCCAAGGCATATATAAACACATAAATGAAGAACTCAGAATGAAAAAAAAAAAAAAAAACTCCATGCAGTATGAAAAATGTCTCTTGATAAAAGGTTCCCTTTCCTCTGCAAAACTTGAAAGTTATTTATGGGGACCTCCCACTGATGCCAAACTCTCATACTGAAAGCATACCATGGTCTTCACTGCAGCCTTCCACAGGATTTTACATCTCATTTAAATTCTCTTCCCATGCCATGTATTTTTTTGTGAACTGAAAATTAGGTTTAGAGGTTTGATTGAGATTCTGATTAAATGTTTTTGGCTTGAATATCTTCTTGGAGTATTCTTCATATTGCATCGTATTGGGAAATATATAATATCAGGTGGCTTCTATTAGTGCAGCCATTTGAAAACTTTGTGCCTGTATCTGTCTGTTTGCTGTGTTTGATATGTGCTGAGAGCCTTATTTTTATTAAAATCTTAAAGCATTTGTCCTTAGTTGAAGAAAATCTAATGGGAAAATTATACTTGACAGTGTGAGAAATGTTGATTTATTATTTGTACTGAATATATGATTTTTAGAAGATATACATGGTCAGCATGAGTAGTATCTGAATAGCTCTTTGGTTGGGACAGAATACTCTTCAGATCATCCAGAAATCTAAAATCAGGATTGTGTGCCTTTGGTTGGTAGCTTCCATGTTGTACTGAAGAATCAGAAATTGAAAGAAAATCAAGTAATACTGAGTAAGAAACACTTTTTTTCTGCTTTATTCTTTTTTTTATTTTTTAAGTAGTGAGGAAGATTGATTATAAGATTCTTTGTTAATATTTTTATCACAAATGAGTCAAAGTTGAGGAACCAACATTTTAGTTTCTGGCTCTATTTTCTTAGCTCTGTTTTTTACTTTTGATTTTGCGGTAACCTTGTAAAACATAGAATGATGCTTAGACTATAGTGTATTAGCACCTCAAATTCATTTAGGAATGAAAGTTAGAAAATACATTACAATTAAATACAGTTAACAGGTTAACAGCCTAATGATCCGTTGTGAATTCTCATTTGTTGTATTTTAAGCATAAAGCTTTTTCTCTTGAGAACTTTGCAAGATTGACTGTTCTGTCTTAGAAGAAAGCCAACTGGAAATTTTCCACAGTTATGATATCACTTTCAGACTATCCATGAAACATCATAGAAATTCCTGTAAATGCCTGTTAAAAGTTCATTAACTTTGTTGTTTTTGCTGTTTTCTCTAGACCACACTAGTGGGTAGAAGGGAAAAGCTGTTCAGTGATTGCCATGGGATTCCCTCTGAATTTCCTGTGGTAGAGGGCAGATACCAACTTCGTAGATAAACAGAATAACTCTTGTTTTTTGCCCACATGTCAAAACATTGAGTCATTTCACTAAAATCAGCTGGACTGGATCTTTATTTTGAAGAGAGAAGACTGAGATAATTTACATTTTTTGCTCTTTAGCATTTGTTTTAGAGTAATGTAGACACAGCTTTAGAAAGTAACTAAGTAGATTTAAAGGAATCTAGTGCAGTTGTGTTAGGATACTCTAAGCCAAATAAAAATAGAAAATTACAGTTTAGAAATATCTAAGAGAATATTAAACTTGATTGAAAACAGTATGAGCAAGGATAGGGAAATTAAATTAAAAAATAAAACACAGTCCCTGCCCACTAAATCGGCTTTCATCTCAAACCACTCTCTTTTTCACTGTGTTTTAGCCACACTCGCCTTTCTTGTGTTCTTGGACACAGTTCTTACACAACTTTTGTCTTAACTACTCTAGGTCTGAAAAGCTCTTATCTTGTGTTTTCTGATATCTGTCTTTTTATCCTTCAGGGTTATGCTCAAATGTTGCCTTCTCAGAGAACCCTTCTCTCTCTATCCAGTCTGAAGTAGTACCCCAATATTTCCTCTTTCCCTGTTACATCAGCCTGTTTAATTTTCTTTTAGCTTTTCTTCCTTTTTGAAGTTACCTTATATGCTTATTTAGTTATTTGTTTGTACGTTATCTCTTCTATAGAAATGTAAGCTCTAGGACAGTACAGACTGTCTGACTTATTCAACTGTATCTTCAGCACTTAAAACAATTTGTGGTACTGAGTAGGTACTGAATAAATACTTGTTAAATATTTATAAAACTGCTATTTTTTTTGCTATATGATAGCTAAATAGATTTTTGTGGGCTAACTACCATTTACTGCGTTATACCTATGGGGATATGCATGCCTATATTCCAAAATGGAACACAATATTCTGGAAATCTATTTTATTTCATACCCCAAACACAAAGGGCCTTTGGGATTAGAATTGTCCGACCCTCCTACTGTGTGAGAATATGGCATTTGAGAATAATTGCTCTTTTCCAAGTCTTATTCCTTTCCCCATTACCTATACTTCTCCCTACCCACTGTCCTCCAAGTTGTTTTGTGCACAGGATGTGAACAAAAGGCTTTTATTTATACAATAGGAAAATGAGAAGTTTTATAGTGTGGTGCTTAAGGTCCTGTGCCTTAGAGACAGATGACCTTGTTTCTTCCCCAGCTCTGCCATTTACTAGCTTTGTAATATAGGTAAGTTTATTTAGCCTGTTTGTAATTAGATTTCCTCTTCAGCAAAAAAAAAAAGAAAAGAAAAGAAAAAATACACTGAGTGGGATTAACACCTATGCTAGCCTGGGTCTTTTGAGATGCAGATGCCAGACGGAATTAAAGATGCAAGAATTTTATTAGAGGAAACACCCCATGAGAGGAAATGGGGAGGAGTCTGGGTAAGTGTGAGGGGAACCTTCAGACCAAGATGCATGGCTGATTCTGAGTGAAGGAGAGGGGGAGGGAAGGTTGGGTGGAAGTGTATAGGCTTCTACTTCCTGGAATATATTCTTTTGCCTCCTTGTTATTTTCTTGTTTTAATATTTTCTCATTTGGTTTTACCTAGCACTTCGGAAGTAGTCTGAACACATTAAATATAACATAATCCAAATCTGTCAGTGTCACTCCTCCTCCAGAGGAGTCACAGTTCTAAAGGATCACACAGTCTCTTTCAGTCCATTTTACTTCAACAATAACTAAATATAGGTACTCTTAGAAAAATTCGGTTTTGCAGTTGAGTGGTTTTTCAATTCTGAGTTTCTACCTTGTAATATTCATGATTTTTTGAAACAAAAGGCTAGTTTACTCTTCTCCATCCCCAAGTAGTTTTAGTGCTTTACAGAGATAGTATGCTGGGTATCTTAGATATCTAGTGCTGCCATAACAGAAATACCACAAGTGGATGGCTTTACCAAACAGATTTATTGTCTCACCGTTTAAGAGGCTAGAAGTCCAAATTCGGGGCGTCAGCTCCAGGGGAAGTCTTTCTCTGTCAGCTCTGGAGGAAGGTCCTTGTCATCAGTCTTTCCTTCGACTAGGAGCTTGTCAGTGCAGGGAACCTGGCTTCAAAGGATGAGCTCTTCTCCTGGCACTACTTTCATGGTGGTATGAGATCCCCATGTCTCTTCTGCTCGCTTCCCTGTTTTATGTCTCAGAAGGGATTAGCTTAAGACACAACCTA